AGCTGTGAGACGCGACTCACATCCAACCGCGACGCAGCTCCTCGGCATACCAATTGTTTTTTCTCGTTTCTGGACTAACAACACCACATGCACCATTGAAAACCCAGCAGAAACTGCGGTAGGCAGTGCGTCTTTTGCCTATCAAGACAGTGCCACCGCGTTTTCGTGACGTAAGTCCGGTGGAATTTGTCTATAGGGAATCCACCGTAACACGCCTCTAGTTGCGAGCGAGAATTTAACACTCGAACTCCACGTTACGTTTGAAATCCAGGCTTGAAGATTTCTTTCGAGAAATGCACCTCCATAGCTCTTACGCACAAACCTTTTGAATAAGTACGTTGTACTCATCAATGGTCAAACTCTTCGATCGCAGAAGTTCTTGGGTGTCATATATGACAGGGTTCTATCATGGAGCCGTGAAGTCTCGTACATCGATAAATGGTTGATTGGCATCTGTATTCTATTAAAGATTTTCGCAGGGAAGGCTTGGGAAATGTCACCCAGTGCATTGCTACAGCTATACAGGGTACTTTTAATGACCAGCCGTGGTACGGCTTACTTGCATTGACTAACGCAAGCAAAACAAGCCTACGAACGTTAGAAAGTGTTCACGCCCAGGCACTTCAGATTTGCCAGAACCTGCCTCGTAATGAATCGATGGTAGCTCATACAGCATTCGCCGGTGACCACCTCATCACGACGCTTTTGAACGTTGAAACACATAGGATCCGTATAGGGCACCTTGCTCAGACCCCCCGCCACCACCTAGGCTCGTTACCAGCAAACAGGCCACGTTCGTCTTTTTGAAAAAAAGTGGCTACGTTTCGCAACTCTTTGCCAACGTGCTTCACGCCCGCCGCGAGACCTCTGACTTCTCCGTGGTGCCTGACTCAGGCTGAAATGAGGCTAACAATATCTGGCATTTAGAAAAAAAAGTAGATACGTCGTCACCTGCTGTTAAGCAACTTGTTATATTTCTGTTATATGTGATCTACCAAGACACACGTATACACCGACGGCTTATTTGTACGAAACAATTTCATTGCATCTTCTGTTTTGATGCAAAGTAAAGCCACCGCAATAGAATTTAAGACCTTCCACCTTACCACATCGATGGTAGCAAAGCTCACAGCGCTTCGTGCAGCATTACAGTTCATTAATGATGAAGGGGCACAGAAATAGGCTATCTTTAGATATCCCAAGATGGTGCAGCAATACTTTTTGTCACTTTTATGCCACCGCTCGCACGAACAACTGGTGTTCTAGATCATAGAAGAGGCACACCATCTAACTAAGAAAGCACAAGAACTAGCGCTCCAGTGGCTTCCAAGTCATTGCGGGATTATTAGAAATGAATTAGCCGACCAAGCTGCCCGTTCTGTCTATTATAAAAACATTCAAAGTTAATTCCGCTCTGCAATACTAACACCGTAAGGAAGCTCCGCATGCTTTCTCGCAAACACACCACGTCGCATTGGAACGAGCCACACTTCAGGCACACATGTTTATACACTCTAGACCCAATTGTAAGTCTTCAAATTCCTGCAGGGACTTCGCCAAGGATACGCTACCCTAGTATGCAGCTTATGTCACTTTTACAAAATTGCACGCACTCCCCATAGAAATGGTTGACGCCCCCCGCTGTGAACATTGTGGCAGTGGTGAAACAACTCGGCATATTGTGCGTTACTGCCCGCAGTACTGCTCACTGATACAGTCACTCTGTATTACACTCGATCAGCTGGACGGCGACCAGACTCTTTCAGAAGAAAGAATCCTACGCTACGGACAAGACTGCACGTCACGAAAGAAGCCTGTGAAGGCACTCTCTGCGCTTTCTGCGTTGAACTGGTCTCTCCGAACGACTCTGATTGGAACGCCCAGCATGTGTGCGCATGTGTAGTGATTTCATTTCTTTGTTTGTTTTATATATCTATCCCTCTTTCCTTTTTTGAATCCTATTTATCTGCCCCAGTACAAGGCGGCAAGCTGGTTGTTCTACGTGGTTAAGTTCTCTGCCTTTTTCTGTATTACATTTCTTTCTCACAGAAAATGAAGAATTTTCCGAAGATTCCTTTCATTTAATGCTCAGGAACCTGGTTCTCATACAACTCAAGGCTGTCTAGAAGGCCCACGATGTGGCGGTGAGGCTAGGCCTCCCCGTACCTACGTGGGAGTGGCCCGCGATCTTATCCCTATAAAACGAGGGTGGAATCCTTCAGAACCCAATAAAGTTTTTCATCCATACATACGTCCCTCTCTTCAGTAAAATAGAGGTGAGTAGCTGAATACTCCCTATTTTTGTGGCCCATGTCCTTTCAGGGTGACGATAGATTTTGCGTGCTGACAGCCGTTTTACGTCGAGCTAGAATAGCTTCACTCATTAATAAAAATCTTTTAGGTTGTGTGGCTGTTCAATTGAAATTTATATACCTACAGCCCCATGAAAAGTATAGTTCTCATTTGCACCCTGTGGCCATGCATGTGGCTCGAGTTGCCTCTTGTATGAGACCTCAGGATTCGGCCATATGTTCGACCATGAAGAAACGGTGGCGCAATCCCCTGTATTCCATAACTGTCAAAATATCCAGCGACCAATGGGCAGGGCGGCGAGGGTACACTGATCAGATCACGTGGCACGAATGAACTATATATCTTGCGGAGGCTTTCACCATTCGTATTTTGAGAAAAATTCTGCAGCTTCCAAGTGCTGTAAAAAATAACTGAAATACAGCATGCATGATGAATGTAATATTGACAGTCACGGAGAAATGAAAGAACACGACACAACTTGACCCTCAAAAAAAAGAAAGAAAGAAAGAAAGATAAAGGAAATAAAGAAAAAATAGAAACAATAGAAGAAACGACGAAAGAAAGGCACCCCTTGATGAGTTGTGGCGTCAGAGAGAGAGAGAGAGATAAAGATGCAAGGAAAGGCAGGGAGGTTAACCAGACACACATCCGGTTTGCTACCCTGCACTGGGGAAGGGATAAAGGGGAGAAAAGAGGTTGCAGAAAGATGAGAAGGTACACACAATCACGAGCACACTCGGGGAGCTCACACAGTCTACAGGCGGTCGCTCAGGTTTGTTGACTTTAGGTAAAGTAGCAGTGCTTTAGTTGCTTTCTGCGCAACTGAGACAGATGCCCAAGGTCCTAGTATCTTCTGCACACAAAATGGTCCGGGGTCAAGTTGATTCAAAGCCATCCGGAGCAGGCATCGCTGTGTGTCGTAGCAAGCGCAGCTGCACAGGACGTGTTCGATGATCTCTTCAGCTCCGCAGTAGTCGCATGTAGGAGTGTCTGCCATACCAATGCGAAAGGAGTACACCTTTGTAAATGCAACACCCAACCAAAGGCGGTATAACAGTGTCGCATCGGAGCGGGAAAGTTGTGATGGTAGCTTTAGCTTGAGCGAAGGATCCAGTTAATAAAATTGACACCTTTGGAAGCTGGTAGACAGCCATAACGTGTGTGTGAGATCTCGAGCCAGCAGGTAAAGTTGTCTTGCTGCATCATTCCTTGATAGAGGAATCGGGACTACACGGGTTTCTTCATGGGATGAGCGGGCTGCATCATCGGCTAATTGATTTCCGGTAATACCGATATGTCCAGGCAGCCATTGATATCGTGCCCTCGTGCTAGAGCTTCATGATGGCAATGTCTTAGTTCTTGTACCAATTGGTCATGACTTCTCCTACGCATGGCAGACTGCAAACTCTGAAGCGCTGCCTTTGAATCACAGAATACTGGACGTTCTTGAACGAGATATTGTAAAGCAGCCCTTATAGCAGCAAGCTCTGATGCCGTAGATGTAGTCATATGCGACAACTTAAACTTGATTGTCGTTGCTCCAGCCGGAATTACAGCGGCACCTGATGAGCTGCTGGACGAGAAAGACCCATCAGTGTATATCTGCGTTCGGTCTAAGTACAACTCATGTAATAATAGCAGTGTTGCTTGCTTCAATGCCAAACTGGAGCGATTGCTTTTCTTTTTGATTCCCGGAATTTCTAGACGTACTTGCGGCATGTCGAGGCACCACAAAGGACATGCCATTCTCGCAGCTGGCATATATCCTGATGGAATGGTGTTTAGGTGCTTGGCTATGACGTCTGAAAACGTAGCACGTGGTCTTCCGGAAGGTAGAAGGGCCAAGTGGTGGTCGGGGACACGGCTAGCATGTCGAATGTGCGCTCTGAGGCAATACACAACTCTATATGTCCTGACCGGATGGTCTTTGGCAAGCATGATTGTGGCATAAGTAGAAGCGCATCGGGGAAGTCCTAGGCAGATACGCAGTGTCTGACCCTGCAAACTCTCCAATGAATGAGTATTCGATTTGCAAGTGTTAGTCAGTACCGGCAAGCTGTAGCGCAATAGACCCAGAAATAGGGCCCTGTACAGCTGTAGCATGGAGGCCACAGAAGTTCCCCAAGCTTTCCCACACAAGAATTTCATTATATGCACAATAGATAGCAGTCTCTTCTTCAAGTACGCACAATGTGGGCTCCACGAAAGGCTTCTGTCGATTATTATGCCCAGGAAACGATGCGTCCATGCATATTTGACACTCTTCCCATTGATGTAAACAGGGTATGGCGTTATTGGTTTGCGTGTAAACGCCATCAACGCGCACTTCACAGTTGATATACTTAGGCCTTGTTTCTGAAGGTAGGCTGTTGTGAGGGTTGCTGCCCGCTGTATTCGTGCACGCACCTGAGGGCGAGTAACTGCAGCACTCCAGAGGAAAATATCATCGGCGTATATGGATAGGCACACCGACTTTGGCAGAACCTTCACCAGACCGTCAGAGATTGCGCAACATCAAAGCTGCTAATGGTGTTGCTTTAACGCATCCGATTTCCCACACATTTGGACCGACGCGATACCGAGGTGCTGCACTAGGCCGCCGTTGACATCGGCATGTTTTCATTTTTTTTTGTCTGTAAGCTCAGATTTTGCTACCGTGGCGTCTCGCACCTATCACCCCTACAGTGGAGAGGGTAAGAGTTGCCAAGGAAAAGCCAAAGGTTCTGAATAAGCGTAGGAACATCGTGGCTCTCGGATTCAGCTGAGCGAAAATTCCTGCTACGCGTGAAAATCAGGTAAGCCACGGGGCCTTTATCTGTGGTTGCTGTATATTTTTCGATCCTATATATATATTGTATTGCATACGACAGATGTTCTTCAGCATATCAGTGGAAGAGTGTGCCTTTGGGTAATTTGGTCGATAGAAGTTGAAGAAAATGACTTTGAGCAACTAGAAACACTTAGAAATTTAGTACAGAATGATGCGTAGCTGTAATTTTGGTAATAGTGCAAAGTGTTCAATGAAAGTTTGAGGTTTTACCTCGAGATTGGTATTTTTAAACTGAGTTTACTGTAAAAAGTCAAGTATTTAAACGTAGTGAAAACAACAAAGCCTAAAAATACGGTCATAAGATGGTACAGGACTTTTCATCTGTAATTTTTAGTGTAAAAGATAGCAGACTCGAGACGATCGACAAATTGTAACTCCAAACCAGCATTCTAGGAAAGATGAGGGCAATATATGAAATGGCAATAGTATTTTTATTGATGCAACTTTATTAGTTTTTTTATGTTGCTGCATGAACAAACCTGTTAAATAAGGATGACCGATTTCGAGCGAAACTATACATGCCTTGAAAATTCGCTGTGATTCCAACACTTGCTATTTGCTTTCTCCCAAACAAGCAGGGAAATAAAAGGGGGGGGGGCAGAGGGGTTGTTAGTATAGTGGAGGGAAACTTTCAGGCCTACTTCCACCGATCATTCTTTCGACTTCTCTTTTGAAAGAATATATTTTCAGTTACAATGCTGACGTTCTGCGTCCTGGTGCTGGCAACTGCCAATTATGGTGAGTCTGTGGCGTCTATCAGCATGGTTACTTTCAGTTTACGATTATTTTGCCACGACAAGAGCATACGCAGGCCAATTTGGGTTATTTCCTTTCAGTAAAAAAGCTATAGGTCTACACTGCAGACAGAGAAAGAAGGGTTAATGCCGTACGCATTAAGTGATTTGATAAGCCATGCAAATATTAGGTTTTACCAAAAATTGCGTGGTAAGCGTTGTCAAAAGGCACACGTGCTGTTCTGAGCGCATGAAACGGCCTTTCAGGTCACTGCTGTTTTGTTCTAGAGTAGATGTTCACATAGGTCACAAAAGGCTAAACATCAGGCCATATTAGCTACTTATCTTCTGTTGATATATATTCGTACGTGTAGGTATGTAGAGGAAGATATGTTAACAAACTATTTGCGCAGCACAATAATATAATCTAGATGACAATGCAGATGCCTATTGCCAAAGCGACAAACTAACGTTTTCATTTATATTACCGAACTTCGCTTGATCACCCTGTTAATTGCCGCGCAGTGACAACGTATTATCGTATAGAAACCTGTTTGTCACCATATACGCTCATATTACTCAATAACTTCTTATATTTAACAAGAAAAAATGCACAACAAAGCACGCGTTGAGAGAGAGATAACGGTAAAAGAAAAGCAAGAAGTGTCACCAAAACAGTATCAGAAGCTGGCTATTTTGAAGGAGAAAGAACAACAACCGAGAACGCAGGGAAGTTAGCAAGGATTAGGCCCGGTTGGCTACCCTACGTTGGGAGCATCGGAAAGGGAGCATGAAAAAGAGAGAGTAGAAACTTGTCAGTAAGTCAAAGAGAAGAATAGTCTTTGAACAGAGTTCATTAAAGCGCATGCCAATGCAAGAGCACTTCACTTTATTCATTTCTATATTGCACTCCTCAGAGCACAAGTTCATTGTGCCGCAATTTACAACATAAGCAGCGGTGAACAGCAGCATGCTGAATTTTCTTCGCGGTCATAACATTTATATTTAAATAACATGCACTATTGATAACCTCATCTCTTGCGTATCCCCAAACAGCATTTTCATCACGCGTCAGTGATGCGAATGCTTTCGTGGACACCATCTTCAAGGAGAAAGTGCCACCACTCGTAAGGGAGTCGCGGCAGCTTTACCCGTACGCAACGCTCGGGGACTTCAGCTTCAAGGTATAGTCCTTGTTGTCCTTGTTGACTGGTTAATTATCTCTCTCACTCTTACGGCGCCCCTGAATCATATCGAGCTATTGGAATGCGAAATCTCAGATATAATTATCATTTCGTTTCGCTATCTTGCACGGCTTGGTTCATTTGTTGCCGTATTCGGACTACGTGTGCTACGTACAAACCCTAGGTGAGGATCGTTAACGGAAACGCAAGCAACATAACGAGCTTGTTCAGACTTTGTTGTATTTAGCGTAAATTACATGTACAAAGTTGCATAAGCTTTGATGCACACTATTTAAGCGATCGTTACGTACGACCATTGAGCAAAGCAGTTTTGGTATTCGATTTTCGTTAGAGGGCTTCCCGCCTACCCAGATTCTGTGTCTTTATGCGCGTCTTTGACACTCAAGCGGTAGCGTGTATTTGCTGTTGTACAGTTGGCTTACCGGACTATAGAGGGCAGACGCGCCGTGCATTACAAGACAGATTTAGCTGCGCGTCCGCAGCAGTCGTACGGACGTGGCCTGCCATTGCAAATTGCTATCGACAATCATTCAGAGTGATGATTGGCTCGTCGTAAAAGATGTATCGTACCGAAAAGATAAATGCCACCCTACGTGGTCGCTATAGCTGCGCAAGCGGACGATACAGTAGATGCGACTGCGGTCTGACTACTGCTTTACACTACAATATACTCGCTATATCTTATGTGTGATGTACCCGTTCGGTACCTCTTCCGCTTTTGAACTTTCGGATTCATCTTCATGACGGAAGTAATTTAAAAACTAGTTTTTCATGGTCGAACCAGCTCTTATACACCTCGTCAAAGAAGATTCCCTGGCTGCCATCGTAATCGCCTGTAGCGTATGGTAAATAGGCGGGACACGCCAAATGTGCACTGCCTAGCAAATGACATAAGCCTTTGTACTCCGGTGCCTTAATCCAGAAAGCAAGCATTTGTTCTCACCTCTGAAAATGTCTGTGGAAATTTGCATGAGCAGAAAGCAAACAAACGGCCAATACCTATAAAATTTCACCACCTATTCACGAAGTAGAATACGCATTTCATGTAAGACAGCAGCGAATACCACAGCCAAGGATCAGAGGCACGTACGAACTGCTGCTAAGTATTCCAGCTGATTGATGAGCCAGTTCGTCACATTATCAATGACGAGGATGCTGCCGAGAAAAATTTATAAAAGGCGTTACAGAACAACGGCAAATAAATAAGTGACATCAAGTCATCATAAGTGAATAAGTGTATGTTCCTTCCTATTGCATAACTCCGAACTTCTCAGAAATGTATGTCTTCAACGTTATGCGGTTCCTTCCCCCAATCTTTTCTTTTTTCGTACAATGCTGACATCAAGACGTCAAGAGGCCCTTGTTATCATAAAAAGAAATCTTGTGCTTAAGGACGCAAATTTGCAACTGACGGGGCCCCTACTCATCACCTGAAGCTTCACTCGAAAGCTATTCACTTGCTTCTGTAGTTAATCACAATATCAGATATAAGTCCTGTTAACAGAACTTCAACTGAAATTTCTCGGTAGGTCACGATAAAGTACGAAGCATTCATTACTTCTTTCCGCTCAGTTTACCTAATGCTGTTTCCGTATGTTGTACTAATTAGCAACATCAATGGATTATTATATATTAGGTCACGGGCTCAACTTCCGGCTATGGCGGCTACATTTTCGATGCAGGCTTAAATGTTTCAAACCCGTCTGCCTAATTCAGGTACATGTTAAAGATTCAGGTACACATAGCTTTGGAAAGCAAAATCCTAAAAATCATGATCGATATTAGAATTGTTATTGTGATATTCGAAAAAAAACACCGTCACGGTACCACAGCGTTATTGTGTTTCACTTGAGAGCCGACCCACGATTACACTTATGAGGTGTCTGAATTGAATGTTTTTTTTGTGCGGCACGTACCTGGCAGTTGCACAAGGACCGGTTCACCAACAGAGAGCTGATGGTGAACATGACACATGGCAAGGTCAGAGGCCTGGACGATGCCCTGCAGAGAGAGGGAGACTGCCGGGCGCCCTTCTTTCGCGGTGGACTGAGCGTCATCGTTTGTAACCTCACCATGCGAGGACTCAACATTGCCTTCACTTCGCTGGTAAGTTGCTTCGGTCTCACGATGTGCTGAGCCACAATAACGGGAGCCTTCGTTCAGTGGATGGTGCATTGTGCAATACTGACGAAACAGAAGAAAGAAACACATGCATACACACCGAGTCACATACTCTTGAGTACAGGGCTCTGACTTATGCCTCCTCCCAACTCCTTTCATTCCAGCGTGCGCTGCGACGACAAGGTTAGAAATTTTAAGTAGATGAAGCGAAGTGAGTTGGAAATGAACAGTGTCATTTTAGTTAACCAGCCTCGCGGCAACACTCATGAAACGGGCTACGTGGGTTGCCCAATGCACACAGTCAAGCAGCAGGTCCCAGCAGGATGCGTTAGACAAATAAATATATTGAAACTAGTAAATTCACTTCATACTTTGTTACTGATGTACTCAGGTGCACGAACCTTCACACGTTCGTGTTTTGTTCGGTTGTTGGAAGGTTTTATTACGACTAGCGTTTGATTAGATCCAGAAGTCAGCTGTCGTCGTTGAGCAGCCTATAGTACATGCCAAATCGTGGGCGAGGTAGACACACAAAACAAAGGTCTTACGAGTAAGGGGATTGCCTCACGTCCCCTCAGCAGCCATGAATCACTGTGTATTAGTGAACAAACTCCGCTTTAAGTGGAAGGAGGTCTTAAACATATATTTGAACTTAATAACTTTCGATAGACCTTTAGGAGTCAGTGGCATTGCCTCCTCAAAGCGTATGCACACAAATTTGCACAAATTATTTGATCTTTCGCTGCAAAACTCTGTGATATGGAGTAGCCGAGGCAATAGGCACCTCAACCTCTCCACAGCAAAACAGTTAAAACAGAACAGAACAGAACAGAACAAATTTGCACAAATACGCGTGCATCGCAGAGTGACGTCATAAACCGGACAGCTGGAAATGCCCCCTGTCTAGAGCATTGAACATCGTATTATGGGGTCTATTTCTTCAGTCGCAGTAGCGATCACCTGGTGTGGTTTGGTTGTCTTGACGGGGTATTTCCAGTAAATTAAGCTGCATCTTAGTATAGAGTCAAACCATGATATATTCTAACCTCCGTGGAGGCTGCTGATTGGACAATCTAATCACTTTGCTCAACACGAAACGCAGGTAACCAGGGACCCCCAGTTCGCTAGCTGGAATAACGTTTGGGTGAGCGTAGATGTGACGGACAGCATTGTTCATCTCGAAGCCAAAGCTCCTGTCGGTGAGGGCTACGGAGAAGTGCGCGCGTTCGTCATCAAGGACATGCAGCTCGACGTGACCTACGACAGCGACCTGAGTCTCAACCCGGAAAGCAGCGAGAAGTTCAAGGAGGAAATCTCGGCCAAAGTCAAGGAAGAGTTACGGAAAATTTTCACCCAATATGTGTCACTTGTCCGCCAACTTTTCAGATCTATTCGCGTCCGATGAGGCATAACCTAATGGTCACTGCGAAGGAAGACATCGTTAAGGTCATTACTTTCGCAATACAGCGTCAAGTAACAAGACCAGACTAAAGAGGGGGCACATGAGTGGCTAACATGTCCGCTTGTTATTGTGTTCTTGTGTGCTATACCGCTACATTACAAGGTGAATGTTCACAAACTTGCCCAAATCACTACGTTACATGTTATTAAAAATGAATAATGTTATCTTCATTCAGTGATTACACGTAGCAAGTAGTGTCTATTTTTCCTGGGTTGTGGTGGTATTGCAACAGGCGGGGTTAACCTGACCTAAGTGACCGGATTTCACCGGAGCATCTCCTGAAAGACAGGGCTTACTCACCATGTGTCACACGGCACAGTGTCTTGCAGAAAAGGTTGCAAAGAGGTTGTCACACGTACTGGACAGTTGATGTCATTTTTCCTGAAGGGCCCACGGCAACGACGAAGAGCGTGTAACGTGTTCTGATGACTTCTTTTTTCCCTGTGCAGGCATGCAGTTTTTGTTTCCTATGCAAAAAAAAAAAAACTCAGATTTATTCGCATGACCGTAGTGTGTACCGATGTCTAGTTTATCAAGTCAATTCCAAGCCACTTCAAGTAATTGTGTTAGAGAACACCCTGGGTCGTTGGAACTGGAAGTTTGCCTTGGAGCATCTCCAATTTATTGGAGCATCTCCAATCCCTCCTGATATAATCTGCCTTCAGGAAGTAGGCAAATTTCAGATAAATCTGAGAGGGTACATAAGACATGTTAACCCAAAGTACCCACAAGTGGCGACATTTACCAAAAAAGATATCGCATTGAGTGTCAGCTACGTGAGCAATGAGGCAGTGCAACACCAGATAATAACAGTGTGGCCCAAAAAACGTGGAGGACCAAAAACAGTGGGGGTCAATATATATAGCCCACCTAAGGAGAGACGAGCCGACTTTGAGAACATTATAGCACATGCGATGGGTTTATTGAAAGAGAAAGACAGGTTAGTTATCAAGGGGGATTTTAATGCGCCACACAGAAATTGGGGATATAAGCAGGACAGCCCTAAGGGCAAACTCCTTGTAGACCTTGTTGAACGGTATGATCTCTGCCAACTTACACAACCAGACCTACCGACACGGGTCGGGAATAGCTTAACAAAAGACACGTCACCGGACTTAACGTTTACAAATTCTGAAGGAAACGTCTCATGGGCGCACCTCGGAGAAAACTTGGGAAGCGACCACTACATTCTCGGAATAACTATTAATGCCGCCACGACAAGAAGAATGTAGAAAGCGACAATATCTGATTGGAACAAATTTAGGGAGAAAGTAGGAGACCAAGGGGAAATAATAGATCTAGGTAACTGGGTGACACAGATAAAGGAGGCACACAGGAAAGTGACAAAGGAAATAGAAACAAGCGTGGAAATCCCAGCAGTCGACAAGCACCTGCTACATTTGTGGGACGCGCGGAGAAGCCTCACAAAGCGATGGCGGAAGCAAAAGCTTAATCGCAAATTGAAGATAAGGATAGCTCAGTTGTCACAGGAAGCCAATGACTACGCACGTCAACTAAATAACAGTAACTGGAGGCAATTTAGTAACTCACTTAGAGGGACGTTAGGAACCAAAAAGACCTGGCACATTCTGAGGAGTATGATCGATCCAGGGGCAACAAAAACAATGACGAACAGGGCTTTAAGAATTCTGGAGAATGAATTTAAAGGTAGCGATGACGCACTTATCTATGAAGTCAAGAAATTATATGTCGGACAAGACGCATGTGAAGTGGTACATGGCAAATATGCAGGAAAAGAACAACCAGAGTTAGACGCTCCCATAACATTTGAAGAGGTTTATGCGGCGGCCCAGTCTTTCAAAAAGAATACCGCCCCAGGACGAGACAAAATAACAAACTCTATGCTTAGAAATTTGAGTGATGCGGCCCTTCGACGAATCACAGATTTCTTTAATGAAAAGGTATGGGTAGATGGAGGAAACCTTCCAGTAGAATGGAAGGACTCAAACATCATGTTAATACCAAAACCAGGGAAGCCAAGAAATATTAAGAACCTCCGACCAATCTCCCTTACCTCATGCTTGGGTAAGCTTTTTGAAAAAACAATATTGACTAGATTGACAGACTATGTAGAGAGAGAGGGTCTGCTACCGGTGAATATGTTCGGTTTCCGACCACATGTATCGGCCCAGGATGTTTTCCTGCTGTTGCAAAATGACGTCATGAACCCAAACAGAGGTTCAAGCGACGAATTCGTACTAGCACTAGATATCAAGAAAGCATTCGATACAATATCACACAAGGTGATAATGGAAGGCCTCGAATCGATTAACTGCGGCCAACGAATATATGAGTATGTCCGGTCATTTCTGACAAGCAGGAAAGCTACCATTTCTTTAGGCTCGGTTACATCTGAAACCTTCGACTACCCAATTAGAGGCACCCCCCAGGGAGCCATGCTATCCCCGATACTATTTAATATCGGCCTGAGAAAGCTCGCATGTGAGCTGGAAAATATAAAAGGTCTAGGAGCAGCTCTTTGCGCAGAGGATGTCCCCTTATGGACAAAGGGTGGCTCTTATGCGGACAAAGAAAACGCCCTCCAGGAGGCAGTAGATAAAATACAAGCTTTCGTGACAGCTGCAGGAATGCAATGCTCGCCGGAAAAAACTGAAATGGTTAGAATTAGGGCAAGATACACAAAGAAAAAGGACTTCATACCGGTAGCAGTACTGCTGGATGGGAGACAAATCAGGGAGGCAGATGTAATACGCGTGCTTGGCATGTGGATACAAGGAAATTCGGGAACGTCACACACACTACAAAGGCTACGGGGAACCACGGCGAATGTGGCCCGGATGATCAGGCGGATAGCAAATAGCGAAATGGGACTAGAGGAGAAAGAAACCATTGCACTCGTTCATGCATTTGTGATCAGCCGAGTTACGTACGCGCTACCGTACCAGACAATGACAAACCAGGAGACAAAGCAAATAAACACAATAATAAGGAAAGCATTCAAAGCAGCATTGGGGATTCCGGAAAATGCCAAAACCGAGAGGGTAGAGAAATTGGGCATATACAATACCTTTGAGGAGTATGCGAATGCGGTGTTTTTATCTCAAAAGGAAAGGCTCAATTCAAGCTATCGTGGGACAAGAATTCTGGAAAAGATGGGATTTACATTGCGACCGTTATATTGTGACGGGGAAACGGTGCTAATAGATGCGGAAAAACGCACACATTTAACTGTAGCGCCTATTCCCAGAAATATGCACCCGACGTATCACGCAGGAAGGAGGAAAGCGAGAGCAGACTCCTTACGCAAAGCATTTCAGAATAGCTCAAAAGCCGTCTTTACAGACGTAAGTAAAGCGAGCAGAGGGTCACATGTAGTGGCAATTGTAGCACAAAATCACACCACAATGGCGTCGGTTAAAACTTGTTTCACACGAGTGGCAGAGGCGGCAGCAATAGCCATAGCCATATCCAACGCAGAAATCAGGGGAGAATCAGTGGTTGTGCTCTCCGATTCACAGGCGGCATGCCGAATGTTTCTCCGAGGAACGCTACCTAAAATAGCGTATAAATTTTTAAATAAACCCATAACAGGAGACCATCACATTATATGGTGTCCTGCTCACGAAGGTTTGGAGGGGAACGTCGTGGCAGACCGTATAGCTCGAGGCATCACCAACCGAGCGACGGCAGGCCACGACGTTGAACCTCTTTCCAATTCGCGTGACATCCTCCTCCAACAAAGGAAGCAACGAAAGGAATATGGGCTTCCACATAAGGACTTGGATAGCCAGCAAAGCAGGGATTGGAGACGCATACAAACCAATAGCTTTCCCCATTTGTACCATCGAAGTAGAATATATCCCGCAAGATATAAAGACACCTGTCCATGGTGTTCACAAGTACCAACACTCAGCCACATAACATGGGAGTGCACTCAGAGGCCCACACACATCGACAGCCCACACATCACGAAGCAACCACACATGTTTCACAGGCAGTGGGAGGCATGGCTTGCGGACGAGGACAAGCAGAGCCAAATAGCTTTGCTTGACCAGGTCCAGCGAGCCGCTCGTGCCAGCGGAGCCCTGGACTGAGGGCCCGACCAAACTGCTTGCATTTCAATTTTTTTTTTCTCTGAATAAAGTTTCTTCCTCCTCCTCCTCCTGCCTTGGTGTACGTGCTAAAAAAGCGAGAAAAAAAAAGCTTCCATGTTAATAGGTTACAAAAAGAAACAATATGTTGAACCTTTCGTGATGCGTTGTTGTGTGTCCACGTTTAGGTGTTTCGGCAGCTGCGGCATCGCAGAAGTCACGCAAGGTTAAGTATTTCATCTCTAGTTGCCGAAACCTGAGAAGGATCACAGGAAGTTTTCGGTAGTGGATGGTTAAGCGCTGGTTGCATAAACTCGGGAGAAGTTTGTGTTGGTCGACTAGGTATTTGTTAATGTTAAAACAGCTATAGGCAAAAACAAAGCTCACGCACAAGTCCCGTCGTCGTGTCCTGTGGCGTGTGCATGCTTTTACGCCTCAAGCCCTTTTAGCCTGCCCAAACTTGCGCGTAGCGCTCTATAGTCTGTCCAGTCGGCACCAGCGTGCGTGGAGTGGCTGCGGACACTCAACTAGAAGTCTCCATAATAGAGAATGTTACTGCTGGGGACCCCATTCCACTTGAGTTCATTTGTACTTCCAGCCAAAAACATGCGAAGGGAATAAAGGAGCTTACGCACAAGCAAAGCACTTTGGGGCCCCTGCACGACAGCTTTGTAATAAAGCCATTATATATTATGTACCCAAAAGTCTGGCGCACTCAAGATTATGCTTCCTTATGTTCATTCGCAGTGGGTTATTGGCCAAGAAAAGAACGCTGAAAAAGCAGAAAATAAAGCAGGGAGCTCGGTGCCTCTTACTCTTGGTGCACCACTGACTATACATCTCTAATTCTTCGTGCGCGTCTCCGGGAGCTCGTAGTGTGACCGCAAGTAACAGTCACACGCTGCGTTCAGAAGAGTTTATCGGTTATGCGGGCGATGACACGTGCGATGTCGCCTGATGTAAAGGCGCTGACGATGTTGTCGTGGGACTCGCAGATGGGTCTCGCGATGACGCATCACCGGGAGCGGCCACGTGCCCGGTCGTTACTCCTGAGGAGGCGGTGCGTACGTAAACGAAAAGTTCAGGATATGGGCGGTGTTTGCATGTAAGGCTTCCCAGAATCGAAGGGCACCAAGAAGGCGGTTGACTGGCTAGCTGAGCGTGGCCACGGTTGTTGCGAGGGTCGTGTTTTGCGTGGGACGCGAAACTCGGCCATTTATTATAAGCAATTATATGTGAGGTTAATGTCCCAAAATCACCATATGATTATGAGAGACACCATAGTGGAGGGACCCGGAAATTTCAACCACCTGGGCTTGTTTAACGTATAAGCAATCGTATCGCGCGGTAGGAAACGTACGTGGCACGTTGTATGACTGATGACCGTTGAGAGCATAAACAAAGTAACCTTCGAGAAATACACTGAATGACACACCCTCACCGATGGTGCTGAGTAGCTGCGATCAAGAGAAAGGTACCTAAATTACTAAATGATATCCTAGACACCGTTCACTTGTAGTGTAATACTCAAACTAAAATGAATTTAGCAGATTAGATAGATAGATAGATAGATAGATAGATAGATAGATAGATAGATAGATAGATAGATAGATAGATAGATAGCGATAGATAGATAGATAGATAGATAGATAGATAGCTAGATAGATAGATAGATAGATAGATAGATAGATAGATAGATAGATAGATAGATAGATAGATAGATAGATAGATAGATAGATAGCTAGATAGATAGATAGATAGATAGATAGATAGATAGATAGATAGATAGTATAACTCAACGACTTTTTGCATAGTCGGGATATTCACTGCAAATGTACTGGATAAGTATTGGGTCAACGTGTCCGATTTAATGCACGTTTCGTCTAATGCGATGCCAAGGCGCTGCTTTAGAGCGGTATAGGCACGGGTGCACTCTTTGTATGTCAGCAAGCTGACGTCGTGAAACTTCGTCCGAGACATGCGCTTAGCGATACCGCTGACAGTGGAGGAGGTAAAAGTTGGCAGAAAAGGGTAAAAGTCCAAGAACGAGACTTCAGCATCCGTACACGGAACGTGGTGGCGGTCTGGTTCAGTTGAGCAAACCTTTTTGCTACGAGTGGTTGTCAGGTGCGTTCCTGAGCTTTTTCACGTTTTATTCGATGCCTCTTTGGGGAGCTTACACACGTTTTAAAGTGTAGAGATTCAGCTATAACGAATATGAGTACAACAACTTTGTTTTCGGTATTTCATTCGACATAACTGAAGTGAGTTCACTTTGGACGTTCAGAGAAATCTAAGCCCATATTTCACGTAGTGATGTCACAGCTCTTACTTCGGTAGCTATACAATGTGCTCAGAAAATACTAGATCGTCGCAGAAGATTATGCTTATAAAAGGAGGTCACTGTGAAGGATGGAACTCTTGATAGCAGTAACACCGCTAATTCACGGTTAAAAATGTGATCCCGAAATGAATCAGCCGCTGGTAAACTGGAATGATAGACGAGATACCAGAAGCAGTAACATCAATAAATCAAAGATGAAATCAAATTTTACGAAGAGGAAGCAAAATATGGAAGAATGCGCTTCATATTCTGGAAAATAGGACAGTCAAAAAACCTTTCTATTAAAACTGCTCGCGCTTACATATGCCAATTAAAAAAGTATTTGATAAGTGAGACTCCTCACTCGAAGATGAGCCACAATTTTGTTGTGTTGGACTTTCACAAGACGAATCTGGAAAATAGAGGACAAAGGAGGTCGATTACAGGAGGTTATTTTTCCGGCTTCCTTCAAGACATGTTCCAACGATTGTTTTTTTTTCTTGCAGGGAACATATTACAATAATGCTGAAGTTCTGCATCTTGGTACTGGCAACTGTCAGTTATGGTGAGTTTTTGGCGCATATCAAAGTTATTTCTCTTACTTCCCGCTAATATTGCTGTGAAGAATATCATAGTACAGTGGTTAGCTCTGATAGAGATTATTAAAAGTGGAGAAGGTAATCCATTAGTGCACAAATTATCATCAATGAACAAACCGTACACATAAGCCAGACGTAGAAATTTTGTTGTCACATGTATGGTCCCGGTTACATAACCAAACCTTGAGACAGTTAAGATTACAAGATTATGTGACCAAAGAAGGATGAGCGAACGTTAATTTTGCCATTTTGTGTGCGTTGTAGTGATTGCGATATAGTGAATGGAAGACAACTTGCAAATAAATACCCAATAATGTAAACGAGAGGAAAGCCACCACCATGGTTCAATTGATAGAATATCGCACGCATTATTCGAAGGTTGCTGGTTCAGTCCCTGCCAATCGCTAGTTATTCTTTCGTTCATTTCGCTTTCTTCGTGTCTACATCATATTTACTTCAGTAGGCTTGAAACCGTACAATTAGCATTGCCTATTTGTTCTCTGGCTTAATTATATGCTGGTTTGATTCGGCGTTGTGTCAAACAAGGAAACAAGCCCTGACATTGCTCTCTTACCTGGGACCGTTAGGTTCTATAAAAAATCTAACTTGATACGTCATCATAAACGCATGGGAGGTTGGCTGTTCCACGTACACAAATGGTCTTCCCGTTTGTGGTTCATTTATCGCTACAGCAATTGTTTGTACGTGTCGCCGCAGCACGTAAGATCAATCAAAATTGAGTGACGATCTTTTTTTTGTCTGAAATTGTATGCGTACAATTTTTACATGAAAACATTTATTAGCCAGCTATTTATATAGTACGGCAATACAGTAAAGAATGGTCTTGCCCTAAAGTTGGTGGGGTTTGTTTTGTGTGTGTGTTCAAAATCAATAAATCTGCCTCTTCAGTGCTTGGTGTCGGTACAATATGTTCACAATGAAGTGTATATGTTTCGCCATTGCAAGCACAGGTTACAAGAGAGCGCCCACTTGGACAAAGAGAAAGAGAGCGAGAGAAAGTGAAGGAGAGGAAAGGATAATAAAAAAAAACAGTGGGAGCCGCAGCGTGCTTTCCAGTAGGCTACCTGTGTTTGCGAAAGCGAAAAGTGTCCCGAAATAATGAAAGAAAATGCGAGTCTATGAACACACCAAAGTTATTGAGCATAGTTCAGCTGACGTGAACTGAAGTATGTGTATACACTGTGCTCTGTTCATGTTTGTCCAAGGCGTCCACGACTCCTGGGCCATACATGAATTTATGAATATCCAATTTATGAAAGTTTTCAAAAGAAACTGCGCTGATTAGCGGCAATCCCAGTGTCCTCCGCAGTCACAATGTTTCACTTTAATGAATATGCAATAACAATAATCTCATCTCTTGCGCACTCCTAACAGTGTCTCCCGGGACCATCACTGAGGCGAACGCCTTCGTGGACACCATCATAAATGAAGATGTACCACTTCTCGTGAAGGAATCACCCCGGCTTTACCCCTACGCGACCATTGAAGACTTCAGTTTCACGGTATAGTTATTGCAAGTGCTGCTGCTTTTCAGCAGCACTGGCACTGTCGACGCAAGTGACCTTGATCCGGCCAATGCATCACGCATACGGAGTAAAGCAGATGTGGAGATCATAGCCGAAGAAAACAAAAACGTAATGGCTGCCGCAGGTCACTTGACATGATCAGTGCACACTAGCAGTGATGCCCATTTCGAAAAGGTAAATCACAAAAAATACGAGCAAAGATAAAATGTGTTCCTATTGTAGACTAGTGTAAATACTTTGCGATGCAAAGTGTAGGAGAGAATACTTTCATTTTATGTTTATTATCGAGCGTCGTCTCTATAAAACGTTTCAGTGTTCTAATTGTAACAAATATTTAACAAAGGCCCAGCCATGAACATAAGCCGTCTATTTAATCTTACATCTATTGAAAAATGCGACCTTATACATATGTGTATATAGTACTAGAATATAGTATTAGATAAAGTATTAGAACCAACCCCTGTACGATATGCACTGATCGAAACTACTTTAGCTGACATGAGAAAGTCCAGAATGTTAATTGCTCCCCTTCGAGTGGTTAACTTCACCGTGTTAGAGTGAATTATGTAGCTAGAGTGCATTTGAAATACCACTAGTTAAGCCACCACGTTTCTGTGTTTCACTTGAGTGCAAAGCAATCACATCGTCTCTGGCGTGTCTGAACATTACGTGCGCCTTGTGCGATGTTTGCATGGCAGGTACCCCAAAACCGAGTCACCAACCGTGACCTTACGGTTAACATGACACGTGGCAAGGTCCGAGGCCTGGACACTGCCGTGCAGCGGAAGGAAGACTGTGAGGCACTTTTCCTTCGTACGGACAGACTATCGTTGTCTGCGACCTTACCATACAGGGAATCAGGCATAAACTTCACATCGCTGGTACGTTGCTCGAGTCACACGCTTTGCTTCTATGCTTTGAAATATAGGAGTCCTTCATACAAGTGGCGCACTCCAAAAAAAATTTGACTACCTGAGGTTCTTTAACGCGAACATGGCAAATGGCCTTCTAGTACTTCACTTTCTTTGAAAAGTGACTCATTCAACTGTTTAAGCAAGTACATTGAGTTCACACTTTGGTATTTGTGTCGAACAAGTGTGGTATTTTTGTACGCACTCTCTTTTGCCTTGAATATTTTGGCATTCGATTACGGCCCTTGATTTGGTACCTGATAGCGTTCGAGCCACGCCGCGGTGGTCTAGTGGCTTAGGTACTCGGCTGCGGACCCGCAGGTCGCGGGATCAAATCCCTGCTGTGGTGGCTGCATTTCCGATAGAGGCGGAATCGTTGTAGGCCCGTGTGCTCAGATTTGGGCGTACGTTAAAGAACCCCAGGTGGTCTAAATTTCCGGAGCCCTCCACTACGGCGTCTCTCATAATCATATGGTAGTTTCGAGACGTTGAACCCCACATATCAATCAATCTGATTGCGTTCCACTTTGGCGAGAAGCAAACGTCGAACAGTCGGCTTCTGGCCAATCAGGTGAGCTGAATGCGAACCGAACGGAAACCAAACGCGTAGAGTATTTCAACCAAGTTCACATCAGCCTGCCGTATATACATCACTTAGCTTGAATGAATGCAATCAACGAAATGATAAAGAGACGTGTCGAACAAGTGTAGTGTCTAATCATGTAAAATTTGCTCAACCTACATGAGAACTACAGCTTCGGTAAGCAAGCCATTTTGTATATAATTCAACGCAGGCTAAAGGGGACAACATTGTCGGCGTTTGGAAGACGATCCAGGTGAACGTATCTGTGACGAACGGCACGATTCAGTTCGAAGCCAAAGTTCCCCCAGGTCGTCCACGGCGGCACTCTGCGCGCGTTCTCCATCAAAGACCTTCAGCTCAACGTCACATACGACAGCAATTTGACCCTCAACGAGGAACGAAGCGAGAAATTCAAGGAAGAAGTCTCGGCTAAAGTCAAAGAAGAGCTAGGTCACATCTTGGCCGAATATGTGTCACTTGTCCGCCGCGCTGTAAATTTGTTCACGTTCCCTAGAGCCTAATGTCACAATAAGTGCAATGAGGGAGTTCATTGTTGGACCGAAAATATTTTGAATCGGTGATGGTGTTTGTTGAAGCATGAATTCTTATGAACAAGCCCAAATTTCAGTTTTTCAATGTCAATGAGAAAGCAGTCTTTTTTTTTTTGCAGTGAAGGCTTCTTCTATTCATTCTCTTGTTTAACTCACTCAGTGTCTTTGAACGCACAGATTTCGTAGCGCCTGACCAGCTGATCAGTTTACTGAAAAATATCAAAGTTGACTTATAATATAGGTTAACATGCTGTATATGTCAATAAAAGCTAAAGAGACGCGTTTCTACACTCTTGCCTTAACTATACACTACTCATTGAAATGGCAGCAGTGAGTGGTTATGTGCATTGGGATAAAACAGTGCGCTAACCCATTGCAATGTGCCACGTGGAAGGCCACTTCTCAATTACGAATCGGTGTGCTACTGATCCAAATTTTTCATTTGTAACAAATCACATACACACACACTGAAACGCACGAGCAGTGTTCACGAAATATCTATCTTTACCAAATTCCCATTAAATGAGACGAAGTCAAACATAGAACAGTTATTGTTTTTTTTTCTGCATAGGTTCCAGATGGTAATACCAATATTTCACCTTTCTTTCTGCAAGCACCGCTGTCTCAAGACGATCGAGTCCGGACTCTTTCGACTTGATACGACCGTGTTTCACAGACTGTGGCTTGTAGTCGCTTTCAATAAAGTTTTCGCCCTCCGGATCGGCATGGAAGACAGTGCTGCTTGCGATCACTGTGGCAGCGACGAAACGATAGAGCAAACGTTGCGATTACTACTAAACCTGTTAGTGTTAATAATGGTTACCACTTTCATACGTGCCGATTTTGTAAACGGTGATACGTCTATTGGACGTAAGAATTGGACTAAACTTATACTCGTAATGAAGGAAGCAAGACATGCGGTCATTCCTCATAACGCTTTCGTTCACTTGTTGACTTGTTCGCTCTTTTTTTTTCTCGTTATCGTTTTATACTTCTGATTCCAGCCAAGTGATTTTCTTCATTGCACACTGAGAAATTAGGTTATTCGGGCTGAACACAACGCACTGAAGTCCTTCGTATTATACACAGCGAACACACCTCAGTGATACGTTTTGTATATATGTATACATTTGGTACCTCGTGCTGTTCTGGAATGCTCAGTTTCGATGCATGAAACTGGCCAAAAGTCAGCTTTCTAAGGGCGGATAACTAGTTTATATAAACCAATTGCGTGAACTGAGACCGAAGAAGTGACCAACATATACGAGATTCTGCCCCTGATTCAGAGAATGCATTGCCACGACTATTGTAAGTCAATCACGAATATGACGACCCACGACGAGCAATGCATACGAACTGCTTCAAGAGTTTATTCACGCCATTTGATAATACCAATTGGCCCCGTGAACGCTGGTGATTAAACTGTAAACTGCCAAATATTTCAGACAGAACTACTACAAAAAGAGACGTGTTCGCATTTTGTTCACCGTTGTAGAAATATGAAACCATCAATGAGATATTAAAAATATTTCCAGGTTCTAATGTGACAACACGTTCCCTCTAATGTTTACTGTCTACCCACAAAACATTTAGGTTATTAGTACTGTTACCTTAGTTGGAATAGTTCTTGCATACAATCGCTGAAACGTCAAACTGCAGGAATTCCTTTTCATCTCTTGAATGTCCCCTCGAAACCTTTCACCTAATGATTTGGACATTCGCAAGCTATAATGTTATATAATAATATAGAATCTATAATAAAATTTTTATTACTAGATTATTATAGAATCTATAGTAATCTATAGATGGGATCTGTAGAAGCTCTGTAGGAGATAGGAGCGAAATCATTTATGTTTTATTAACGGTCATGTTAGTTGCTTCATTTTCTTTTTTGTTTACCCAACTTTATTTCATCACACCGTAGTCATCACTCCACGCCTAGAGTAGCAGGCCAAATTATAATTATGGAGTATCAATAAAAGTTACCATCTGTCGATCGATCTGTCATGTCGCAAACCTCTGCAAAACAATAAGTTAACAGGTGTCGGTACAGGCTTCATTAAGTGTCCAACAACGTTACTGGGTTTTACTTCAGGGCAGAGTAACGTCACCCTCTCTGACTTGTCTAATGTATGCGTGTGGCTTGTATTACGTATATTTTTCAAGTCTCCAAAATTCGGTTAAACAACCGTGACTCGACGGTGAACATGGCACGTGGTAAGATTTGGGGCCTGGACACTGCTTTGCAGCGGAAGAGAGTCTGCCAACACCGTTCGTCCGTGACGAAAACTACCATCGTCGCTTGCAAACTTGCCTTACAGGGACTCGACATTACATTTACTTCTCTGGTACGTCACTTAGTTATCTCTCAGTGCAGTTACTATGTTTCTCACAAAGCTTTAAGGTTAGGAATCACGCTTAGTCGAGAGTCCAGGGACTAAAGATTTGTGGATAGAACAACAGTTACGGGAGACAAGTGAGAAAGACGGAGCCACTCTCTTTTCGTCTTTTTTTTTTTAGAGAAGGGTGGTGTTGGACAAACGCGTAATTTGATTCCGGCTGACATTCTAGTGCAGATATCAGCTGCTGCATTCGACCATCGATCTGACTTGTGGCTGTGAGTTGTGACTCACCCCTTGAGCGGCACGTAAAGCAAATAAAATTCGAAGGTGTACAAAATTCCGCGTCCAAGTGTTTCAGTAACACACATCAGTAATGTTGACTGAAAAGACGAGACATATTGTTCGCACTGCTATAATCAATCGGTATTCTATTTGGACATTTTTCGCGTTTTCATGTTCGTTCAGCATTTTCTTGTGCGAAAGTGAACGTTGAAGTTAGAGTTCGGCACTTATATGTGGCTCTTCAACACTTTTCTGAGTGGCTATCAAATGGTTCCAGTGAGTAACCTTATTTCTTTACTGATCGACCAAGAAATAACCCGACTTTTAACATTTCAACTGATGCTAACGCTTTAATCTATGCGGTTATATCTCCTGACGGCCCGGACTGTGGGTGAGCGCATTATGTAGGACTGCCCCCCCCCCCTCTCCCATACCTAAAAAACTCAATGCGCTGCCCCAAGACAGAACTTTTATTGCGCCATCAAAAAATTTGGGTTATCCCATGAACTTCGGAAATCGACGTTATGCGAAGCTCGCTGAGGAAAGGTGGCTGTGTTGTATTTTTTTTTTCTTGAGTGACACGTTCTCAAATGACGCTAAATATATTTACAGCCGACAACGAAAGTTTACGGACCACGTGCGACAAGTGGGACGACACGCGAGCATGCGGCACGAGATGCCAGACGTGAGCACGCGCACTGGTGGTGTGAATGGCAGCGCCGACGCCGGATACGTGACATAGTGCGACCACTCAGTTTCGTAAAATTAACTAGAGGAGACTCTGGCGCTGCGATAATTCAGCGACCATGGGAATGCTGGGTAGTACACGGATTTGCCTTGCCTTCGTACTTGTTGATGACGAATCGCACTTGTGGCTTGGTTTATTGCTGGTTTCGGTTTTGTTTTAAGGAAAAGAACGAGCCCGTTTGAACTTTGTGACCCGATTTGAAATGGCAAGCCTAAAAGAATAAGGTGGTGAAGTGCAACCGCTGAACATTTGCTGATTTTCGTTTCGTGAGAAAGCAGCTCCAAGCCACACGAACACACATGGAGCCAGGAGCACGAAGATTAAACAAATCCGTGTACTACCCATTATTTCCATGCTCACTGAAGGGCCGTGCGTTGTAGCTCCCTTAGACACTAGCGCCAAAGTTCCCTATAGTGTACATTTAGGCAACTCTATGTGTGCAACTAAGAAATGCTCCGCATTTCAAAACCTACTGCTCGCGCTGCAAAACCGTTCACTGGTCACTGGATCTTGACCTCCGCGGTAGTGCCGGCGGGAGATTTCTCCTGTGTGTTGTCGAAAAATAAAAGTTAGCAACGTGCGCGTTAACTAAAAGCGCTCTGCGGGTCTGCGCGTCCAGCCGGAGTCTCACGTCTCTCACTGACCATTAGCAGCGATTTATTTTGTTTTAGACAGAAACACCGCTCTATCACTGCGTGCGCTGTGCATGCCCAGATTTCTCTCCCGCGCAGCGCAGCGATGAACGCCAGCGTCCACGCCACCACGAGTGTAAGTGTGAGCGCCCGCTGCTTCTCAGCTACACACAAGTCCCTCTTATCGCGAGAAGGTGTAAGCTTTATCCGTATATCACGCATCGACCACCACAAGAACATTTAGCATTTGTTAAGTACAAGCGGAGTTACAGAGTTATGTTGCACGCTGTATTTGCTTTCTCTCTTTCTCATTCCCGACGAGCCCACTGAAAGCTAAGCCGAGAGGAAGGACAGCGACAAAGAAGTTTGGTCACGCACGTCATGACCCTGAGCACTTCCTTTCATTTTTCATCGAATGCACAGCTTGCTGTCAGCCTGATCGCGATCGCGCTTTTCGCGGCCACCGTGGTAACTAAGCAGCTCGCGATGCTGTAATCAGCCAATGGCCGAAAAATTTGCCTAGACAGTGCTGTAAATTCGGTATATGGCGGCATTCGTAGAAAGAAGAGCGAGTAATTTTTAACTGACTGAGAAATAACCAGAAAAACAGGCCGCATCTTGCGCTATATTAATTGGCTCGCCTGCTCTTATAGGAGCCTCGACTATACCGATCGGCAGCGCCTCCTGGCAGGGCCGAAAAAGTGTTGCAGGGGGCCTTATAAGAAATATTACGCAATTGCCTAATGATCGGCTGTGACGAAATCCTAGTGAACTTTTGTTATGCACAGCTAGGCATGCTGTTTCGGTGAACATTTGTGCTTTTTAAACTTTTCTGTTCATTAGATTGTTCTCGTAGGGAAGAACTGGTAATAAGTGCCCGAGTGTTTGTCCATCTGCCTATGTTTACAGTTTCGTGCTTGTCACTGCTTTGCGACGGCAACTATTGTGCAAGAGAACATGGGTAGTCATCGCCACGCATGAGCATCAATATATGAGTACATTCATGAACGCGTTTGATTAATTATATGCATTCAATAAAAGCCCTCTAAAATTATGCATTGAGTGATTTCAAACACATTTAGTGTTTAACAGTGTTTAATCTTATGTATTCATCGTCACATACCACAAACAAATGACGTGCGTGTGACGTAACTTCTTTCCCCCGTGCCACCACTCCCTACTTAGCATTCGGCGCGTTTGTCGAGGTGAGCTGAAATGGAATGCAATCACAGCGCGCAACAAATTTCTGTTGCTCCGCTCCTCTTACTTGATGGAACCTAAATGTTTTTTTTTTTGTGGTGATTGATTCATGTGGCAATAAACATCTCTAGTGAAGTGATTTGTGAAAGTGCTTCAGGGTCCCTTTTAAGCCCGACATTTCTCTTTACGCGGAGCAATGTAAGGTTTCGCTTACATATATATTTTTACTAAAACCAGCATTGTTATGTAGCCTCAAACATCAGAAACGTTCTGTTTTTTTTGTCTCTATAAAACGGCTTGCTACACCCCCCCCCCTCTCAAAAAAAAAAAGAAAAACTGGGCTAGTCTTAGGTCAAAATGCACACGCACTTCATCTGTGAGGAGAAATTGTTGGCCTGCATTAAGTAGTGTTTCTAAAACTAATTAGAAGCTCCGCGCACAATGGAAAGAACAATGGTCAACATTATAGAAGGAAAGAAGAACGGGTTGTGTGCTATAATGACTTCCGTCACGTGCCCTTCACGTACCATACCGGACGCAGACTCCCCTGCGACATCTCGCTCTTGTACTAACAGGCGCGTCGTAATGTGCGTGCGGCTGGGAGATCGCGGTTGCATAGAAGGTTTTACCAAGCCTTTCTCTGCTTATTAAAGACCATAGACTCAGGATAGTGCAAAATGCACGAGCTGATAGCTTTGTTGACGAGAGTACTTTTAAAACATCAAAACGCTACTCACCAAGCAGTGAGACATTGAGACCTGTTTTTTTTTATTATATAATGACCATGGGGTATGTTTTTCCCGAAACCTCGATATGATTATGAGCGATGCCGAATCGTGGGGCGGCAAAAGTTACCACAGTCGCGGGTTCATTAAGAGACCACAAGTATTACAGCTGCCATTCAAAAATGTGGCCTGCCGAGGCCGGTATTCGATCCCGCGACCTTGGGGTCCGCAGTACGTGTGACTTATTCTTTATTGAATACGTTCAAGCTAAGCATGAAACTGGGAAAGACACGGCTAAAACATAGACGAAGACAAAGCAAGCGTACACATTTAGGAATAGCTACGTAACTGTAGGCCACGCTATTGAACGGCAGATGTTTAGGACATATATGAAAAATCCGCTTAAAGTACACGGGAAGAATATAACTTATGGCAGAAGTAATGCGCATTGAGAAGAGTTGGGGGGGGGGGCTAACGAAAGGGACGAACATTGCTGCTGATGACGCTTTTATATATGCGAGGCATGCGTATATGAAGACACATCCTTTTTCTCGGCAGAAGGGTCGCTCGAGGTATGTAATCACCCATCGGCTATCTCTGATTTCCTGACCTGGTTCTCCAAAAGAGTACGACATTAGGTGATTTGGTCTAGCACACAGCTTGAAGTGAACGACAGCGCATAAGTCAAGGATGAAGACGGAACGAACGACAACACGAGCGTTGAAAGAACGAACGACAACTGCGTTCGTCGTTCCTTCTGCCTTCGTCCTTGTTCTATGCGCTGTCGTTCGATTCGAAACGGTTGACCAGCTGGCGCTGAGGGCAGCGTTCAGTCTGCTAGATGAACCACGTTAACGCATCCGATTTCACAAACGTTTCGTCTAGTGCGATAACAAGGTGCTGCGACAGAGTGCTGTCAGCAAAGGCTTGTTTTTTTGTTTTTGTTTTACCCGGAAGCTGACACTGAGAAACCGTGCCGGAGTCTTGCATCTGTCGCCACTGCAAAGGAGAGAATGAAAGCTACCAGCGTAAGACGGTATCCTCAGAAGCTCATCTCTGCGTTCACATGTGAACTTCGTGGCTGTCTGATTCAGTTCAGCGAGACCTCTTGTTGCGAGCGGTGAGCAGGTGCATTGCAGCTCCTCGATGACAAGCCTATTATTCGTTTCGTGAGCTTTTGCATTCTATCGCACTGCACGAATTAGTGCGTATACGACCGAAAGCATCTGATCTTACTCATCTTTGCCGACAGAAGTTAAGAGAGAGAGAGAAAAAAAAATAAGAAAGGTAGGGAGGTTAACTAGACAAAGTCCAGTTTGCTCGAGTGGACCTGGAGAGGATGGAATAAGGGAGTGAATAAAAGCGCCATTGAGCACCTATGCGGGTGAGATTCCGTTAGCGATGATATGTAGCTCGTGTTTCAGTAACAGTGTAAATTGCTTATGGCCTGGATCAGCCCTTTTGTGAAAACAATGCTTCTGGTTTACCGAAATGTAGCTGAACTAGTCGGTTTGCTGTAGTCGCCTCAAAATTTTCTCATAAATGGCGGTAAATACATCCAAAAAATTGTTTCAGAGGAAGTCAATGGTCAATTTCATTATACGAGGCATCACTATTCACGTTACAATGTTATACATATCCCTTGTGTGAACATCTCTGACTTGCGGTGGAGTTCTACACACTGTAGTGAATTCACTGTCTCTCTCTCTCTCTCTCCTTTTTTTCATTCTCTTCTATCCTTTCTCGATGCCCTTCCCCAATCCCCCAGTGTAGCCTAGTCAATTGGAAGTCTTTTTGGTTAACCTGCCCGTCTTCTCCATTTTTGTCTGATTCCCTTGATACATTCGCTTTTAAAAACAGCCTTGACAAAACAAAATAGTAAAGCTAAACTAAAGAAAAGAAAACGCATCTTATTGAACGCGTAAAAAATGACTCGCTCCCTGGATTTCGTGCCGACCGGTTGTGTCCCCGCGATCTCCCACGACAGCGCAGTTCTGGCCGACTGGGCTCGCCCTACGCCATCTCCTGACGCCGACAAGAGCTCTCGTCGAGTGGTGCCCCGTCCTCGGACTCCTGCGACCGTGTCCATCTTTCCTATCTCCTCTTTACTTCCATCGTTTTCTGTCGTTCGCTGTCCCTGCGCCTCGCCTTCTCCTTCCTCTCTCTATTTCTTTACCTTTTAATCCTATCCTTTTAATCCCTCCTTTGCCCCCACCCCTCGTGAGCTACTGTCAAGTGCCCTCCCCCTAAGAGACACTTACGGGGCTCACTTTTCTCTTCTTTTCATTTAAAATCACTCACCCATACGCGTAAGAAATGGACATGGGCTGGGAATGTATACTATAGCACGTAGGCAGGACAACTACTGGTCATTAAGGGTGGCTGACTGGATTTCCAGAGAAGGCATACGCACGAAGAGGAGACGGGAAGTTAAGAGGGCCGATGTGGTCAACGCGTTCGCAGACATAACATCGCAGCAGAAAGCAGAAGACCAGGTTGATTGGCGGATCATGGGAGAGGCATTTGCCCTGCAGTGGGTGTAGTCAGGCTGATTATGATGATAAAAGGCTCAATATCAATTAAATCATATCACTCATGTACCCTTTTATTTTTGTCTGCGCACTCACACAAACCAAGTAAAACACATTCCTTGTAGGATCACCTGTATACATTCGCTGCAGGCAGCTTTTATATAGCTGGCGAGCCTGTAACAATAGGGGGAGTGGTTAAGAGAGTTTAGGAGACTGTTTATTTTGTCGTTTTTTTTTTCAGAAAATATGTTATCGAGCATAATGCTGAAGTTCTGCGTTTTGGCACTGGCAACTGTCAGTTGCGGTGAGTTTCTTGATGTACATCACATGCATGCTTTACGACGATGGGGAGAGGGGTGGATTGGTTACTCTTGTAGCTGTATTGCTTTCCGTAGACACTACAGTCGAGGCTAATGATATAGTTTTAATGCCCGTAGTGTATATTCAGCAGGCTTTGTTTTGTGTCGCAAGGAAGCTCAGGGAACGGTAAATGATATAAAAACACTCAAACGCGACACTCTCTCCCAAAACACAGCAACATACTGTCACACAATCATGCGAGTGCGCGACGACCTTTCTATTCTTGGGCCGCTACAGTGAAGTTTGGTATATTTTAATGCGATAGCGTCAAAGAGCCCGTTTTGCGGAAATTCTGGCGACGGCGTCATCGGTTGTGTGCGAAAAAATCATCATCTTATGCATGACAAAAAAATTGACAACGATTCAAATAAGTTAAACAATAAAGAAATTCTGGGTCGTTTGGGTCCGAGTTGGGATCGAACCGAGTAGCTCGCGTGTCAAGAGAATGTTACGCGACACATCCACGTCTCTGCTTAAAAATACAGCGAAAATAACTTCCTCTGGTTGGAAATCCAGTGAAAGTAACTTTCATGTTTCATAAACACGCGCGTATTGCGTAAATACTTCACAACACAACATGAAATATTGCCGCAATAATGCGTGGTACAAGCACCCATTGCCGTCAGGCGTCAGAACATGTGATTATCATAATGACTTCATGGTTTAAAGCTGGTCACTCACTACAAAAGTCACACACGTTGTTGCGCCTATGTCCCTTTAAGGACACGTAGTGGGTGAATTGCAAGTTCGTCGAAAAGGTTTCGTGCACAATGTGTTTAAAGTACGCACTAGGGACAAAATATCGCTGTCGCGTTGAACACTTATATGGGAAGCTGAAGAGTCCCGCAATTTTTTTTGCATAACAACAACAACAAATTGCATAACAACCAACTATTTGCATAGCCATTGCATATCCTGTCTTCAATACCCCTCGACAACTTCTTTCTCAGAATTATTAGACTGGGCTTTAAAGCAGTCTTTACAGCTCTGTGCAAAATATTTTCGCGCAAAATCTTACATATTCGCAGATTCCGTGATAACTGCTGCTACTCAACAAAGTGATCTCGTACTGATGCGAATGTAAACACAAGCAAGCACTGCTAGTCCGACATATGACAGTTGAAACATTAAACGGCAGGGAGTATTTCCCGGCCGAGTTCTCACCGTGGTTAGAATCGTTGACATCAAGCAGTTTTGGTATAAGGTACTTGCAGATTAGCATATCTGTTGTATCCCCTAACAGTGTCGTCGGCGGACGTAAACGATGCGAACACTTTCATAGACACCATTTTAAAGGAAAAGGTGCCATCGCTTGTGAAGGAATCACCACAGCTTTACCCCTACGCGACCATTGAAGACTTCTCGTTCAAGGTATTGTTGTTGTTTTTCCCGTTTGGACAAGCCAATCTGGAGAACATAGTAAAGAAAGCGATATAATAATAATAATAATAATAATAATAATAATAATAATAATAATAATAATAATAATAATAATAATAATAATAATAATAATAATAATAATAATAATAATAATAATAACAATAATAATAATAATAATAATAATAATAATAATAATAATAATAATAATAATAATAATAATAATAATAATAATAATAATAATAATAATAATAATAATAATAATATTATTAAAAATAATAAATTAATAGTTTATTTAACGTGTCCTAGAGCAGCCATGAAGTTTTAGTGCAGTTGCATGCAAAAATAAAACAGTACAAACAATAAAAACAATGTAGAAACTAATATAACAATAAAATAAACAATGCAATATATTAATAATATTATTATTGTAACCAATAAAACGCAGCGCGATGAGGGACGGGGTTGAATTTTTCGTACTATCGCCAGAGCTCCGGAAGATCCCGAGTTTCACAGAACTCGGCCGATCCTGCATAACACCCAAGCTCACGAAAGACAGCACGTTTTTGCTGCTGTCTTTTTTTTTCAAAATAGAACACACTAATTCACTGATTGGTTTATTAATTTAATGAATCATTGCTCATTTGCTTGATTTATTACTTATTCAATAAATCAATAAACTTATGAGAAATTACGAAGCCTTAGCCGCTTCCCTGCGGCCGGCTTCTATAAATCGGGTGCTTCATTGCACATGCCTCCGCATCATGAAGGAATCGTCATTTGTAAGAACCAGCTACAGTGCGTGTGCAGAGGTGCTATTGTGCTTCGCGTGATAGCACAATGACGACATTGTTACTAATGTGCCTGGACTGTATATGTTCCTTGCATGGCGTATACACAACAGGTACCTAATAACCGGATCACAAACCGTGAACTCAAGGTGAAAACGACACGTGGTGAGGTCCGAGGCCTGGAAACTGCCCTGCAGCGGTTCGGAGACTGCCAGGTGCCTCTACTTCGTGATGAGCAGACTGTTATTGTCTGCAACCTCACTATGCAGGGAGTCAATGTTACCTTCTCCTCACTGGTACGTTTCATAGGTTTTGCGCAGTGCCGTCATAAAGTGTCTAAGCAGCCTTCACTTAGCAATTCACCCGTAAGAACCGGGTTACCGTCACAGTCTCGGCTCTAAGCAGTTTCGTGACTTTGCCGAGCATCCTATGTCACCTTCAATAGATTTAAGCCGTTCTTGAACTTAAAAAGTTCTTCCCCTTTATTATAAGAATAAAGAAAAGCTGAATGCTGCCTTGAGGACAAGTCTATGCCGCAACATGAAAGAGTGCTACAGGGGCTTACTTTAGGATATTTATTTCGGAATCATTGTGGATTGAGCACTTCCCTGTGATATTCATGAGACTGTCTGTAATAGGTACACTATATAAAGAACTCATAGGAGTACTTTTCTCTATGATGGGTTTAACACGGGATGGTCATCCCCGTCGACTCCTAGAATAAGGATAAGAAAAATATGAAAAAATGGGTTCAGCCTGAACTGTGCGTTAAGCCTGTGGGTTAAGCTAGACTCGGTTTGTGTAATTTCAGTCAGTGGCTGGTTGTGCGTCGTTAATGAAGAAAACCGTTATTTGAATCAATAAACTTCCTTGACACGCTCATGCTACAGAGGAAGAAAGGGGGGGGGGGGGGGTCGTGGGGTGACCATCGCAGAGAGCCAAGGAAAAGTTCCCCATGAAATCGGCTTGATCTATAGATACATCTTAAGAAAGATTTTCACCGCACTGGGTCATTCGCGTAATCGGGTGTGGAATCGAGTACACGTTGAGTTTTGTTCGATTTTTGTACGTTAGACCTGGCTCAGGCTCCATTCTGGTGAGAAGCCAGCTGATCTTGCCGAACGGATCAAACGAGGATCGAACGCGTGCTAGATTCAGTCCCGAGTCATCTCAGTAGCCACACGCCAGTGTCCTTGAATGAACACACCCTAAAATTAGTGACACGGTGATTACAAATACGTATTGCGCCTAATAATGTATGTTCTTCGGGACCTCTAGGAACAATTCTATAGTCGGATAGAACCTACGACGTCCGGAGACGCCCCACCAAGACGGCCGAACCACGGCTGCCGATAGCCTCAACGGGCTGTGGCAGCTGCATTTCCGATGGGGGCGGAAATGTTGTAGGCTCGTGTGCTCAGATTTGGGTGCACGTTAAAGAACCCCAGGTGGTTGAAATTTCCGGAGCCCTGCACTACGGTGTCCCTCATAATCATATGGTGGTTTTGGGACGTTAACCCTACATATCAATCAATCAATCAATCAATCAATCAATTGATAGCCTCAACGACTCAAAAAACAGCTCCACTAATGTATTCGGCAATGTTTTTCGAAGGCCGGTGTCGTTAATCACCTGGTTAACGACGTCAATCTAGAGCGTCAGCCTGCACCAAATATGCACAAGCCTGCATCTTTGTGTAAGGTTGTGCGCGTACGTTTTTGTGGAGAAAATGCCTCAAACTTCAAAGTTTGTATTCGATCGAGAATCGCTCTGCAAGCTAATCGCTTTGTTGAAAATATGTGCAGGTAGACGGAGATTCCCTTTTCTCTGGTTGGAAGACCATCTGGGTGAACGTAAATGTGACGGATGGCTTAACTCGGATCGAAGCCAAGTTTCCTGTCGGTCGGACAGGTGGAACTCTGGGTGCGGAACTTAACAGGGACTTACAGCTCGACGTCACGTATGACAGCCACCTGAGCCTCAACAAGGGCCGCCTCGAAAAGTTCAAGCATGAAATCAAGGCTAAAGTCAAGAAGGAGCTATACCCCATGTATTCAGAATACGTGTCGCTTCTACGCCGTGCTGTAAGCTTGTCCGCGTACCCGAGGGCCTAATCTCATAATAAGGGCGACGTGGGAGATCTCGTGACCTAGATTCAATGATGCGAAGAAGCGAGTAGTCATATTTTTTCAGCGAATACGCATGCTAATTTTATACAATATTCTACATTCCTAGGTTTCTTATAACGAACAATGTTCGTTATAGTCTGTTCCCTTGTGTAGATCATAGAAAGAAGTCAAGACAGGTTTAACACCTGAAAAGAAAGCTTATGGCCTGCCTGGAATAGGAAATACACCATGGTGTACATGCTGGTAAAATTGTAAAAGGTGTAGCGTTTCTACGTTCCCAAAGAAATAAACTATACGTTCAAAATATCCGTGGTATGTGACTGCCTTTTTTGTCAAGGCTGGTTGTGGTTTACCTTATAGCTTACCCTAAGTCAGAGATGCCACTTGGCATTTCTACATCAGTGTGGTTTTTTACTAAAAGTGCACACTCGCACCCCCCACGTGAGTTGGAGCAATGAACAACGCACTAGTTACAATATTTTGACGCATGATGGTTACTTTACTGTCCTAAAACACTCTATTACACGTGTGAATGCGATTCCATACGCGACATGAAGCCTACACACCGTCAGTGTACGCAGGAGCTTCAAGCACCGGCTTGGCTTAGTGGTAGAATATCGTGATGACACGCAGAGGACCAAAGCTCGAATCACTTGCTATTCTCGGTAATTTGAATTTTTTTATTTAGCGTAATAGCAATTACCGACACCAGTGTGTAAATCAGCCCTTGTTGTGATTTCATAACAGCTTTCGCTGTAAAACTGCATGGTAAGGTGTTATACTGTAACGACAGCTACAAAACAGTTTTCGCTGAAAGAGAGACTGACTGGCATTACACATTGGCTGAAAATGTAAGTCAGTATCATGAATTGAGAACGACTATACATTTCCCATGAAGTTTATGCTGGGGGGGGGGGGGACAATATGGTGGCCATCCCTCAATAAGGGGGCGTCCCCTACCTCCTCTCTCCTCACCGTCACGTTGCGAGAGGAGGGTCAGCTTCGAAAACTTTGAGGGACGGAGTGGATAGGATGACTAGAATGCGAGATTGTGTGAGGGAGAAGCACTTCGCAGTGTGACTGGAGAGAAATTGCTTAGACCGCATACGTGATGGGTTTCCAGTTCGAAAATTTTCAAGCGCCCTGGGCTTCTGCATCTCAGACGTACATCCAAGCGGAGTTGTGAGTGGCCTTAGTCATAATTGGCTGGTGTTGCTAGCTGGAGGTACACCTTAGGACTGTCATCTGTGGCAACAATGAAAGTGCAGTGAGAGAGTTCTCCACGTACCTCTGACATTTTCTTCTCTTTTAACAGCCGAGTGATATCAGCAAGTTCCTGCAGTGGCCGGTGACCACTCAGAACTCGGCACAGCTTTGAAAAGGTGGTGGTAGTGGTTAGAAGATGAGAAAAGGCACCTAATTTCTGCAACCCGGTCGGGAGCACGGCGCCGTGCCTAAAAAAAGGGAAGTGAAAACACGGCAAGGTGTGGGGAAAGGAGTGAGGGTAAAGAGGGGCGATGTCAGGGAGACGAGGATATAAATGAGGGGAAGAGGGTAATGGATTCCATTGTCATGTACAGGTTAGTGTTGAAAGCGGGAGATAAAAGTAAGGGTGAGGAGAAATTATTTGAGAAAGAGGAGGGTGGAAAGCACGAGGATACGGTAATGAATGGCATGGTGAAGGTGCAATAAGCTTTATTTAGTCCCGAAAACCCCCGATCAGACAACCACCGAAGGGGGGTCTTTCACAGTTGCCGGCAGCGCACACGCCGCTACTGGTAATGTCTAGTTTAGTATAGAGAGAAGTGGGAAAGGTAATCAGGGTGAGGAGGAAAGGAAAACATATTGCCGCATTGAATATGCAGCACCAAGAGAACAACGAAGAGCACGCGCAGCGAGAGAGAAAGACGAGGTTCTCATCCGATCAGTTCGCCAGTGTTCTGGTACAATTAAAGCGAGTTGTCTGGTATTCAACTGCTGCTGTTTCTGCATTGTGACAATTAGCAAATTCACGTGTAGTATAGTGTAGTAAGGTGCGGGAAAGAGAAGCGAGGGTGAAGAGAGGAAAAGGTGAGAGAAAAGACACCAACTCTGCTGTTTTCCCAGTCTTTGCAATACCAGAATATAGTGGCCCTAATTTTTTCTTCACTTAATGCCGTAGCTTGCCACACACCTCTGTCGAAAACAAACTACCGGCCAATCCCATTTTGCAGCTCCTACCAGACGTGGACATCGACTTGAAGTTATATGAAATGCCTAAGCCACTCAGCTACAACAGTAGGAAAGAGAGAGAAAAAAGGAAAGAAAAAAAACGCGTAAAGAACATTAGTTGAGCTGATAGCACCAAAAGTGCACCTAATATGCACCATATATGTAAATATGTAAAATGTGAACAGTCTTGTTATGCAAGGCAATAATGAAAAAAAAATGTAAACAATTGTTCATGCCAGTTATTCTCTACCGTTATACTAAACAATTCGCCTAACTTCACGACTTTATGTGTTTCACAAGTCTCGCTTTTATTATTACTTCTTGCTCCAAGGCACATTTCTATTGCGTTGCCGTCGAAAAAAAACCTGGAAAAATTAAGATCGTCAAAGACTGTGTAGGGTTGCTCTAAGTGCCCCGCCGCGGTGGTCTAGTGGCGAAGGTACTCAGCGGCTGACCCGCACGTCGCGGGATCGAATCCCGGCTGCGGCGGCTGCATTTCCGATGGAGGTGAATACGCGGTAGGCATGTGTGCTCAGATTTGGGTGGACGTTAAAGAACCCCAGGTGGTCGGAATTTCCGAGGCCCTCCACTACAGCGTCTCTCATAATCATATGGTGGTTTTGTGACGTTAAAACCTACATGTAAATCATATCAATAATTAGTGTTGCTCTTAGAAGTTAATGTGCAATTGTTTTTGGTCATCCGTCCTTTTCTGCATTGAGCCGCTATCCTTCGCTGTATGCTTGTGACACTGCTGCAGCCTATCGCACGGAAAATATTTCTTTTTTCTGTCTTCTTTATTTTAGAATGAGCCCACATTGTTCTTGGGCGTTAGAGGAAGGGGGGTTGCAACATAAATACAAACATTTCTTCACTTTCACAGTATGCTTGTTCTGCAGACAGGTTGTCCCATTCTGATACACACTTCGGAACAAAATCAATCAGAAAACATGCATGTCCAGGGCCGGTATTGATGGATTTTCGTTTGTGATCAGTCTTTTTAGAATGACAAAATAGTGTCACTAAGGTGCCTTTTCGCGTGCATTTAGGTCACCAAACAAATTGACACAATTCTGCTTTAGCGTGCATGGTATGAACTGTACGTAAAAGTCAAACTTCGGATTTACATATGCGTGGGAAACTGAACATCCCTCGCACAAATCTCAAACCTGGTAAAATCCAAGGTATGTTGCCAATGTTACAGCGAGTATGCATAGGCAATACCCGCTGTATCATTGGCAGCGCGCCAGAAATCCGCAAATAACAACGCCAAGGGTTTCTGAATGTCACTTCGAACGCCCCTTGAAACCCGAGAGGCTCTCACGGCCAAGATAGAAGACCACACGCTGAACGCAAGATGAATCATAAATATTCAAAACAGAAACTAGGTGTGATTCAGCCAGACAGCGTAACCTTGGCGCCCGGTCTGCCAGCTTGAAAACACCCCTGTATCTCTCCCTTCTAAACGAGTATTGAGCTGCAAGCCATGCGGCCGTCACAGTCCACGCGGAGAGAAACTACACAGGTGGCGTTCGCGCCTCAGTCTACGAGTGTATACGTATTGCCCTGAGGTCACACCTCAAGCGACAGACGCAGTTCCGCACGCCGTGGCACACGGCCGAGTGTGTACAATTACGGCCGATCCACGTGCGGAGAGAAGGATTCACGGAAAAGTAGAAAGATAGTGCTAGTCCGTGATGTGGGTCAGAAAAACGAGAGAAAGAGCCCAGCCAGACTGGCAAGGCTGAACGGGAGAGCAAATGTACGCGTCCACTATGCATAGGGGGGCCGATCGGGTAGTAGACATGGAAAGAGAATTGAAAAAGAATAACATGACTCCTAAATCCGCACTTGACACAGTTATGGGCCTTAACTTCGGCTTTGAAAAGAAAGAAAGAAAGAAAGAAAGAAAGAAAGAAAGAAAGAAAGAAAGAAAGAAAGAAAGAAAGAAAGAGAGAAAGAAAGAAAGAAAGAAAGGCAAGGCAAGGCCACGCTGTCTTGGGAAGTTCGTAGTGCGGCGACGTCAAAGCTGCTAATGACAAACACCACGTGAGTGCCATGCGATTTCGCACACGCTTGGTCCATTGCGATACCAAGACGCAGCGAGAGAGTTGCCGTTGGCATGGACAACACGTGCATTTTCGTTTTACTTTGCTTTTGTCTGCTGCGAGTCGAGATTGTGAAACTGCGTCGAAGACTCACACCGCTACTGGGGAGAGTGTGAAAGTTGTCAGGGAAAGGGAAAAAAACGAGACTTCAGCACGCGTATAGGATTGTCGCACGGCTGCCTCGTTTCGTAGAGTGAGACGACTTGCTACGAGCGTTGGGCAGGTGAGCTCCAACTTCTTTGGCGTTGCGTTTCTTTTGTGGCCTTAATTAAGTGTATTTTTCATTGTAGAGTACAAGTTCATGGACGTTGCTGTAAAGCCCATGGCGTTAGTTACGTTTTTCCAAGACAAGTTAAAAGCAATGACCTTGGACGTGTTGATAGGGGAATATTTCGCGCGAAATTCTTGGCAGCCCTTTCCCTGTTAGCAGTAGAAAAGTTAAGAGTTTAAGGTGAAGCTGATACTTTTCAATTGAGCTTAATTGCTAAGTTCGGTGCAGTTCAGCTTATTACTTTGAGGAGTTACTGTTGTGGGGCAACGAAACTAGGTGTCGGAAGGCGAGCTATATATACGACTAAGATTAGTAGCAGTACCCGTAAACTGTCTATTTTGGTGCATATACGTAAGGAACAAATCATACTAAGCGAAATCATGACTTCAACAAAATTGAACATGGGATCTGAATTTCAGAATACATTATTCATTGCGCTTATAAGATCGGCATTGTGCTAGTAAATGTATCAGTCTGGGAGCCGCTTTCTTTATCAAAACAAATAGGTTACCATTTATACAACAACGCTTTTTTGTTTGTATTTTCAGATAATATATTCAGCGACATCATGCTGAAGCTTTGCATTCTGGTGCTGGCAACTGTCAGCTATGGTGAGTTCCCCGCACGCTTTCTACGATTTAAAGCGGGTTTGTTATGTCGAATAGGTCAGCTATTTCAGAAGAATAAAATAATGCAAACAAGCTATGCATATAAAACAAAATCAAAAGGTTCGGTGCTTCAATATACCAACTTTATTAAACATTTTTCAATTTTGTCTGTCTTTTGACCAAATAAAAGAGTGAGCGATTGAGAGAATGGTACACTCTACTGCATGGGTGCGCTAAGCTGTCCCAAGCACCTATCAACTGAATAACTGATTGCACACCGGGCATTGGATCGAAAATTGCAAAGGTTGAGTAATTTATAGAATGGCGCATGTTATGTTCTATGAACACCACATAAATAGCTGTAATATACATTGTTTCCTGCACATGAATGCCCTTCATATATACTATGGGGAAGAGCTTCATTCGAGGCGAGCTCGAGCTGGCACACACTGATGATGATATCTACAGATGAGGAAATTATACAAATGATGATGACTCGTCCAATTGATAAAGAAGAGTCGGTGACTGCGCTCACAATACTCACTTTGTCTCGCTGTTTGCATGTGCCACATTAGAAGTTGAATATGGCCACCACAGTACACCGAGTGTTTTTCCTAACGCTACTCAAACCTATCAAATATCATGTTTTCGAGTAAAATTTTGTCCAGGTATACTATCAAGTGCGAAGTGAATGAAGGTTGCGATCCCCCTCCTATCAGTAGGTAATTAGGTGAGGCTCAATAATTATTCAGTAATTATCCTAAGACACACCTAGTAGTTTACTAAGCGTGGCCAGTGAGTTGTAAGGCATATTCATTCAGAAGAAAACAGCAAACGACGTGAATTTTCAGATATGCAATAAAAAGGCACTTTTTTCTGTTACTCTACTACAAACATATCTTTTAGGGGGCTAACCTGTACGCCCAAGTATTTGTGTCACACACAGGGAAGGAGTACCTTGACGTTTTTTTTTTTCACAACAAATTTCACTCGAGCTCTCCGTTCGAGTTCACCGACTACCATTCATCAGCTTCGTTATGTGCAGTAAAGCCAATTATGAAAAAATAATTAAGTGATCCGAGGTATTATTCTAATGAAAAGTGAAACTTTCACATTCACGAACATCCGCCACAACTATCAGTTAACTTCGGACAAAATTTTCATTTCTCCTCAAAACTCCATGTCCCGCCGTGGTGGTGTAGTGGCTAAGGCACTCGGCTGGCAACCCTCTTGTCGCATGATCGAATCCCGGCTGCAGTGACTGAATTTTCAGGGGAGGCGAAAATGCTGTAAGCCCATGTGCTCAGATTCGAGTGCACGTTAAAAAACCCCAGGTGATCGAAATTTCCGGAGCCTTCCACTATACGGTGTCTCTCGTAATCATACAGTGGTTTTTGGCAGGTTAAACCACACTTATAATTAATATTCCGAACCCCATGTTTAAATATATTGGGAGGATTCGCACAAACACGAAGTAAAGTGCTGTTCAATCTTAGATGACTGTCAACACAAATTGCGGTGAATATCAGGAATCTGAGTAATCAAAATTTTCTGGGTTGTTAAAGCTATCACTTAAGTATATGTAGAAGCTGTGTGTTGGCAGCGATTTTAACTGTTGTGTGCTTCCTAACAGTTTCGTCGGCGGGCGTCGGTGATGCAAATACATTCGTGGACACCATTTTCCGGGAAAAGATGCCCTTCCTCGTGAAAGGGTCGCCACGGCTTTTCCCCTTCGCGACCATCGCAGACTTCAAGTTCAAGGTATGCCGCTTAAAGCATCGTTACTCTTGAATGTTTTGCCCAATCGACATTGATAAACCCAGTGTACTAAAATGACACATGCATAGCAGATGAGAAGTCATTACTTTGAGCAGCTGGTTCACTTGTTTAACACTTGTTTCTTGTTCCTATCCCCACGCTTTCATGTACACTTCATTCTTAGATACTGCATGCGTGCTACGAGTATGCTCTCTTTTTAAAATGCGGTCATTTAATGCAGAAGTGAAAAATTATAAACAATGCAGCATACACGCAGTTGCAAAGGAGAGTTCATGTTACTACACGGTATACTAATCCAGCCAGATGAGCAATGACGTAATTGGTGACTAGAAGACAAAGGCAGCAGTGCAGCAATAAGCGCACAAAGAACAGGAGCACTCTAAAGTTGCGGCCTATTATTACACTACAAACACCTCAGCGATAGTGTCCCAAGTTTTACACGCTTGTAATGTAACTTCGGCCTAGAACGCGCTAACGTGATAATTTCATTTTGATAAAAAAAATTACTTGCACCGAAGAAGATAAATGTTAAATTGTACAAAGCCATCACCAGTCTCGTACTATTCTAACTGCGTCAGTTTTTTTTTGCATGTCATGCGAAGAAGATGAGATAAGGGTGACAGCACATATAAAAAGCATGTCCTTTTTTTGCTGTCACAATGCTTGCAGATTATTACAGAATAGCAGCTATCCCGGTCTCACATCTTGCTCCGTAACTGAGTAATTATGCACATCTATGAGCAAACAGTCTTTGACTGAGCTGTATTAAAAGAACATTGTCATAAAACAAATGACAGGTGATAAAATTTTCACAATGTTCCTTGCCGTACGTGACCGTTTAGTAAATTGCTTTGGTAACACATTAGACACTTCCGCATTATGAATAAATTATTCAACGTCGATCAAATTAGCCTCATCAGCTACGTGAGTGTACAAACCCACTTGATTTGAAAACATGAATGGCCCTATTGAAGGCATGACTGAAACGTTCATTGCGTCGTATATACCCGGCAGGTGTACAAGAACCAGATCACAAACCGTGACCTCAAGGTGAACATGACGCGAGGCGAGATCCGGGGACTCGACAATGCTCTGCAGCGGCTGGGAGACTGCCAGGCGCCTTTTCTCCGTGACGGACAGACCGTCGTCGTCTGCAACCTTGCTGTGCAGGGACTTAACATTACATTCACTTCCCTGGTGCGTTGTTTGGATCTCGCTCATAGATGTGACAGCGTGTATCCAGATCATCTTACGCCTAAGAACCATGATTGTGGGAAAAATATATTGGCTCGAAGCACTTCTTTGCCTTTTCCGAGCATTCGATGGTACCTGTCGCTAGAGAACGAAGGTCAGCACCAGTTAGCTATGCCCTAAATCACTTGTGGAGATTGTTAGTGTACTTAATTATTATGTTATTCAGTTAAATCTACGTGATAATAATTTAACCTGGCTCCAGAGAGAGCTATGAAGATAAACAGTGGACAGGGAGGTTAACCGTTTCGCTACCTTGTTCTTGAAAAAGGTCGTAGATGGCATCAATGCTTATGCTCCAAACAGTAACAACCTACAAAATGACTTAATAGTGAAATACCGCTCAAAGAGAAACTAAATTGATTACACGGCGTAATGCAATCAGCTCAACTCAGTAGACGTGCGTAACCATTTTGTAAATACACGCTCCTTGACATCAAGGAGTCTATTATATCAAGTGCGATTGTTTTCAATCATCTGATAAATGCTTCTCGCGAAACATGAGCTATGCAGAATAGGCAAGCTGACCCATTCATCTAATGCTAAACGCAGGCAAAAGGAGACACCCTAATCGCCATTTGGAAGACCATCTGGGTCAACGTGGGTGTGAGGGACACCATGGCACAGTTCGAAGCCAGCGCTCCAATTAATCAGGGCGGCACTCTCCGCACTTTTCTCTTGGAGGACATCAAGCTTGATGTCACGTACGACAGCGACTTGAGCCTCAACGAGGGTCGCCGCGAGAAGTTCAAGGAAGAAATCATAGTCAGAGTCAAGGATGAGTTGAGGCACATCTTCTACAACGACTACAAGGACCTGCTGCGCCGCGCTGTTGAGTCGGTCACGTTCCCCAGGATCTAACCTGACCGTGAATGTGATGTGAGAGATCGCTACAGAGACCGAAGTGACCTCAATTCCCGCATGCAACATAGTAATGCCCCACGACCTCCTCTGCTAAGTGTACAGCCCATTTTTTGCGACAATCCCTGTACTGTCATTTGTACCTATCACTATACAGCTAATTAAAAAAGAAATGATGGACATTCTACGGCTTGTGTGGGACAGGAACCTGCAACTTAGAAGTGTGGCAGTTCGGGCTAGTTGGTATGACATGACGATAGTTATAGCGCGAGAACAGAACGACGACAAAGAACGACGTCTCTTCTTGTCATCTTTGTCTTCGTTCTGTTCTCGCGCTTATAACTATCGTCAGTAACCCGCAGCGTTCGAAATAGCGACATCTTAATAATGTACAAGTAAAGCCAGAATATTCTGCGTGTATACGTTCCTAAAATAAAGAAACACTGTCGTTGACTGGCTGTGGTAATGCTTTCGCTTTAAATCGCATGCACTGCTCGGTCTGCGTCATATTCTGTGTGTTGCTGTGGATCACTTAGTGCTGCTTTTATATGCGTTTTTACTGCGCCAAAGGCACGGACTTCGACACACCATGTTTTCTTTCTTTGTTTCTTTTTACGTCATTAACAACAAAAGTTCACAATTAATTCTAAACACAAAGCCACAAAGAAGTTGATAAAGCTTGTCAAGTGATTCTTCTGACACTTGTGAAAGAAATATAAAATTTCAGAACGAAAGTTTCTGCTGTATATAACGCATATAACCCTGTAATTTTATCGCTTATGCAAACGACTAAAACACCGGCGAGCGGGTATTCGCAATGACAAACACAGCGTGATTTAAATTTCAATTGAAGGTGCAAGCGACATGGCATATCTCTCATGCTACTCTGAGACGAATTGAGAATCAGGACCATATTGTTGCTTGACATGCTGGGTTAACTTCCCACCCATGGTTGTTAACATTGTCACATTTCTATTTCGGTGAAAAGAAACTAAAGAAATCTTTTACTAATAATTTATTGGATCATATATAATCAATTAAGTAAACGAATAAAGACTATCGAATGAAACATGTTGGGAGCAGCGCAGTGTCTACATTTCAAACACAATAATGCAAAAGTGAATTTCTTTCCAAAAAAATTTTAAAACTAATTATGTTGAAAAGAATACTTTAGCACGCACATTGATGTGCGTATAGTATACGATATACTAAAAGACCTCTCAGAAGCTACGAAGTCAAATCATCGAAAGGCATTTCAGTCTGTCCCCAGTCACTGCGGAGTTAAGGAAAATGAAATGGTGGATGAGTTGGCGAAAACCGCTCATAATTCTACGCAAACGTGCCTCATTCCGGTATCTCAATATGATGTAAATAGAATTTTAGGAAAAACAAAATGTGAATTATGCCTGTCTACTTGGTTCACAGACAAAACAAAGAAATCGATCCTATATTCTGTTAATCCTAATCTTGAATACCAATTAGACCGTGACCTCCCAAGATGTATCGACACACTCATTCATCGCCTACGGCTCGGAACTGCTTACACAGAGCACTTACTACTTCGTATTCATCGTGCAACATCGTCAGCATGTTCATGCGGCCACGACGACGAGGATATCTGTCACCTCTTGCTCGACTGTCCGAAACACGACACACGCCGAAGGCGACTAGAACAAGAATTGCATAGGTTAGATCCTGAGCGACCATTCGGGTTGAATAAAATACTAGGTCCATGACCATCTAAAACAAACGGCAAAGCAGTGAAGGTGCTGCAACAGTTTTTCGAAGAAACGAAAATTTGGGACAAATACTGAGCGGACAAAAGTTAAAAGTGAGCGTGTCGTCTACGTGTTTGTTCTGCCCATATAGGAGAACTTTTGCTCTCGCCCATGTATTACTGTATATATGTATACATGGTATTGTTTTTTATATTTTTATTGGTATCAATTAAGTGGAAAGGGGTAGCCGTCACCAATTAACGGTGACAAAAACTCCTTCTTTCATTTTCTATTTCAATAAAAAAATACTTTAGCACGCATGCACTGGCAGATCCAAGTTCTGATAATAAAGGGAAAAGTTTGACAGTGACCGCCGAATGATTCAGTAATGTAAGCACTGGTTCGCATATACCGATGAAAATGGCTAACTGCAACGAAAGTTGCCCTTCCATAGCCACTAACTGGCGATGGCCGAAATGTCATTAAAAGTGACAATGAATGATCGACTGCTCGAACAGTTCTGAGTGTGCACATAGCTGCAACCTTGGCTATAGGCGCATGGGTGTTAGTTGAAAAATAAATGGGCTATGTTGTCGTCTGATGCTTAACGCACATCCAGAGAAACTTGAACGATGGATGTTGATTAAGGAGATGGACACTTTTTGTTTTTGCTAGACGCACTAAGGCCGAAGCAATGAAAGAATGCTTGAACACTTGACTGATGTTTTACGCGTGCGCAGCATTTCCCTCTCTCAATCAATACAATCTACTGACAAGTAAAAAAAAACAACATCAGAAAGAACGTGGTGATGGTCGGTCTCTATTCATCTCATGTGAATGTATAAGAGATTGTGTGGCTTTTTATAGAGCCACTGCAAAAAAAAAAAAGGAAAGCGAAATGGGATATTCATACGCTCCCTGTGTTTACAGTGCAGCTTAGGAGAAATATCACTCATTTTCAATAGCTTGGCGCTGACTTGATGGGAAATACTTGAGAAGAGTAAATATGGAGCTCATGAGATTTAAATCTACAAGAACATTACGCATTGTTGCGTGCATCAATAAGCTCCTCATTGGAGACACTCGAGCCTAATTATTCATTCGAAAGAATCACCTGCAATGTGCTGACATTAGCTTTCAAATTCTGGTTCAGCTCCTGACGTGCGAAGTCGCACCTCACATGTCGGATGCGACTTCACACATCAGGATCCAGAATGGGTCACTGCAGGAGCACAGTGACCCATCAAATGCAAGTGTCTTCTTTACCTACAATGAGCGTATGTTTCTTTTCAGGAAAAGAAATCAGTTCTCGTAGTTAGCACTATATGTTAAAAAACGTAAAAAGCAACAATTCATCAGCACAAAGGCACCAAAAACTTGACGGGAAATTAAGCAGCAGGTGGAAAAAACAAGAAAGACAGAATGGAGTGTAAGTAACTAGGAAAGCTTTTGGTTGCTACACGAGGGAAGTGAGAAATTGTAAGATAAAAATGACGAATGGAGATGCAAAACGCACAAGAGCTTCCCGCACGGCTACACAACTATCAGGCGCGTTGTGGGAATGGAGGGTGAGCCTCGAGGGTGACTGGCCTATAAAAAATATTCGGCTTTGTTTTTTTTTTTTGGTGGGAGGGCGGAAGGGGGGGTCTTACAGTGATGATACGGTTAGGAGAGCTCTCGTTGTAGAAGTCTTCAGAACTCCAGAAATTTACATGACTTGAGGATCTAACAATATGAATATAATATATGGGAATTATTGTCCCAGAATCACAATATGATTATGAGAGACGCGGTAGTGGAGGGCCCCGACAATTAAGACCATCTGGTGTTCTTAAAAGTGACGTAGTGTCATCTACATTCACGTGCCTCGATCATTTGGCATCCACTTAAGAGCAGTCGCCGCTGCCGAGATTTGACCCCGTGACCTTGGGGACCCTTGCAAATACCAGTTGTTTTAAGGACTACAAAACATTTTTTTACTGCCTTTTAGTTGGATTCACCGTTGGCACCATGCTTAGGTCGATAGAAAGTGGTCAATCGTCCAGTCATCGCACGGCGACCGAGAGTGTACTTCTGATTCAAATCGACGACAGTGGCCCAATAAGCATTCGATGTTTTCCTCGCTATCGCATATCCCCCATACGTATCAGAAATAAGTAGTGCTGACAAAAACAAGCAGTAGCTGCGAGCCAAACAGATGATTTAACGGTCACGATAACAAGAGGAAACCGGAACTTCTTACATGCTGTAATAACTTCCGTCACGTCTGTTCCATTATATAGACCGGACGTGCCATTTCCTGCGACACCCAACTCTGTTGGTAATAAGCCTGCTATAATGAGTGTATGGATGACAAAGATTGTATTTTCGTATCGAGTGATGATACGCCTTTTTCTATTTAGAGGTCATGGCTTTGGGACCATGTGTTTGTATCAGTGGTTCGGCGCAGCTCTTGAAGCAGAAAAAAGAAAGAGAGAAAGCCATACGATGCGGGGCAAGCCTCTGATTTGTTTATATATTTGTTAATGTACTAATTGAACTAGCATAACCGAGGAAATTGGATTAACAAAAAAAGCATGTGTAGACAATACTGATCACAAAAATAACATACAAGCCTAAAGATAGCTCTCTCAGAGATAAATGTACAGAGCAGACAAGTCTGAATAGAACTTAAGTGATAAGCAAAGTGCACAAAAGCACTTAAAAGTACAACGCAAAGATATATATTTCAGAATAAGCCATATAACGACGGGTATTCAAGTTAATACGATTGTAGTTAGATCAGTGCAGCGACAAGGTTTACTGCTGAATGTGCTTTTAATAACAACGTATAAACGAAGGGAGTGAGATAGAAACGCTAACAGCCTTGCTACACATGTACACATCAGCGACTGAATGCAGTAGTGCTTCTTTACTGTGTATACACCAAGTTAAGAAAGAAAACAGAAGTGAGAAGGCAGGGAGGCTATCCAGAAACGCGTAATATGGCTATACACAACGCATAAAAAACAGAAAAAAGCAAGGTAACTATGATTGCGGTATATTATACTCGGTGTAGAATTCAAACGAAGCCACGACCAGGATAGATAGATAGATAGTTAACTTTATTCGGGTCCGGAAGAATCTTCAACCCGTTTTTATAGGGGCCAGACTGCGGGCCGCTCCCACGTTGTGACAGGGAGGCGAAGCCTCACCGCCGCATCGTGGGCCTTCTGGACAGTCCAGAGTTGGTCAAACCAGTCATGGCTCGTGAGGAAAGCAGAGAAGGCTTCCTCCGTCAAGCCATGACCAGGAGATAAAATAAAATTGAACGTCTCATCAAAGGTAGACGGAGATACAGTAGAGAGGAAGGTTTCGCCAAGACGTTGAAACGATACAAACTTTCACAATAGTCGCTTCACACGTTGGCTGATTGCCGCATATAAGCTATCTCTTTGCGAATACCAAGACAGCCGGCCAGTGGAAGT